TGCCGAAAGACACTAGCCGACAATCGAACCCGCATACGTGGCAGATTCGCACGCAACGACGAAATCAGCGAGATTCCCAAAGCCCCTTCTTCAACTTCAACCACAGAAGAATATGAACACGATTTCTGGGTAAATGCTGTTAACATTTTATTGCTCTTCTTAAATTTCAACCAGTTACACATTGACATATTTCTAACCAGTTAAATGGGGTGTTCATATTTTATGTAGGTTGAATTCATTGAAGGATTAAATGAGGAGGTAAACGCTTAAAGTTTAATCCTAAGTCTCACTTTCATTGGAGTCTTGACAGAGACATCTTTTATGATACCACTCACAATGAAATAGCCTTTTTGTGAGCCAAGGAAAGAATTACGAAAGGCTTTTCAATTTAACTTTGTTAATAAAGTCTCTATCTATGTTTAGAGCATTAAGATATGCCATGGAAGTCAAATGTAAGTTGGCTGGCTAGTTAGAGGTTGCTTCCACTTAGTTTTTGTTTTTTGCTGTATTTGATTTTGATTTCTCCTTTCTATTTTTGGTTTCCATTTGTTCATTGTATATAACCATGTATCATATTAATAATCACGCAATGTATTTAGAGTAACTAACTATATTCTTTTGACCCACAGTTTAAGAAGATATGGATGTTTAGTTTAGAAAAATAATAATGACTTACTAACTCACTTTTCTTAACAATAACAACCATGCCATTCAACCTTCGTCTCTAAACATAATATATTTATTAAAATTACAACATTATGAGTGAAAGTCCTTAAACAAAAGTTCAGGTCTATAAATTTTATAATTTTAACTGATAGTAAAAGATTGACTTAATTCCTCAAATTTGAATTAATTTTGTTTTTTTTCTTTAACTTTATAGTTAATTATAAGAATACAAAATTGAAGTGTATTATGATATACCTAAGTTGTAGGGGGCGCCAAAAGAAAAAGAAGCATCCACTTAAGGTAATCATTCGTTTTCTACTGAAGTGGCAAATATATATAGTTGTCGTGTTGCATTATCAATTCACCGTACCAATTTTCTGAAGTGGGATTTCTCTTTTCCAATCAGATAGTGGTCAAATAAATTCCAAGGATAAAGTACGATTATTCAGTAGTTTATGTTTGCACATTTTTATGCCGTCAAAATCATTGTCCGTGATCCTTATATCCTTATATTTAACACACAACACAGCAAGTAATTAATCTCAACAAAAATATAAGATGAAGATGAAAGCAAAATAGTAGGAGGAGCTATAAGTTAATTGAAATATTCATTAGTTCATTTTTTCAAATATAAAAGATTTTATTTTTCTGTTTACATTTATTTCATGGCAGCTTAAATTTAAGAAGATAATGTTTTTAGTTGACCAATTTTCTTCCAATTATTTTGAATTCTAAAAGCATGCACCAAAAATCATGTATATACTGTTCTGGCGGTCGTAATGACAAGACTCTAATAGGATCATAACTAAAAAAATGCCTAGATGATTATGCTGTGATCTTTATGCTGTATACCAGTATACCATATGTTGAAACACTGATTGACAGCAATGCTCACAATCACAAAGACACTGTGTGACCTCAATAATGGAAAGAAAAGATAAGTTATATACTCTTAATTAGTTCAAAATAATTTTATATTTTATTTAATGATAAACAATAAATTGATTTTATAACAAGTATTCTAAATATCTAATTAACAATAATTTTTATTTATTCAAGTACAGCTTCTATATTAACAATATATGATTATTCCATTTTTGAAATAATAAAAGAACTTAATATAATAAAAAAGAAATCTTGAATATATATCAACAGATGACTAGATACCAGAACATGACTTGCTTTTACAGATTCTCTTCTTAAATAATGAGGTGCCAGTACAAAGAGATGCTTCTGATCTTCTTTGGATAATATCCATTTTCATATCCCTCTTCAAGTTTTGCATTTCTTTTTTTTATGAGTTTTTAATCCCTCAGATTTATTTTTTTATTTACTTTTATATATATAGGTGTGTGTGTTAAGAACAAGTTCCTGTGAAGTTAAAACTCATGAATCTAAGTGACGACTAAAAAACTCCTGAATCTAATTAGCAACAACTAATGTTGATATATTTTTTATGGAGTCTTTAAAATTAAAAAAGCTAATGACAAGTCATTATCACTGAAAAAATTCCGAATAGCCTGCAATTGCGATCATGTCTATTATTAAATAGAAGGTGATGGAGGGAGATGGAAAATAATGAATGATGATAAAATTGATCATGAGAACCTAAAACGATTCCAAAAACCCCACTTTTGACCATCACAGCTAGCAAAAATGAATAATGAAAACTACTTCAACACCCTACGATTGCAGTGGTATGCATTATATAAGATTAAAGCTTTATTATTTTCCCTCTAACCTTGCATGCCTCTTTCCAGAGACCCCAACAGATAGGATTTTTGAGACGAAAAGAGAAATGAGTGCTTGGGAAAGTTGCCCATTGGATCTGTCCTCCTGTCTAGTCCAACAAAAAGCCTTTTGATTCGTAATTACTCCGTAAGAATAATTTTCTGGCGATTTGATTAACGATATAATCAAAGGGAAAGAACAAGTTTTTTATGTTCTACACACGATTGCCACGGTCTTGGCTCTCTAGTGGACCGGCCTAGATCATTAAAATATGTCACCGGCAGACAAAAAAAGAGGTTGTGTACTATTGACGATAGAACTTTTGTCTGGGGCAAGACCAGAAAAAAGATTAGAACTTTCTAGTTACCCTCTTTATCTTGCGTTATGGGTGGAGAATCCATGAACATGGTCATCAAACAGTTAGTAATTACTTCAGGAAATGACATATGGTTCCGGGTGGGGTAATAAAAATGTTTAATTAATTTATTTAAAATATACGAAAATTTGATAGTTTTTCCCTGATTAATGCTAGGAGTTTATGGTGCTTAAAATATAAATTTTGGGGTAGAATATTTTGTAATTATTAGATTGTAACAGATGTGTTTGAAGGTTTGACATTTTGGAATCAATGATGAGCGTGTTAGAAAAAGAGAGGGAGCACTTCCAGGAATGCTAGGTAAGTTGTTTATGGCATAGGTTTTGATTTTATGGGTGTGTTTTGATTAGTATGAAATTGATTATACATAATCAAATTCAATTTGGCTACGTTAAAGGTGAAAGCAAAGAGAATATTCCAGTAAGTGCTGCATCTTCCTAGGTCTTCGCATGACAAGAGGTTCCTCACTGTTAAGTTTATAGTATCCACAACTCATTATCATTCAAAGTGTTCTTATGACCTCTATCTCAACTCTCACCATATATCTGATAGCGACACACTTGGTGTTGGTGATGACTCACTGCGTTTGCACGCACTTGTTTTCTTTTGTTTCAATTAACTCCACTACAAGAAAACAAAGTTATCATTTGAGCTCTTCCATAGGAGGCACAGTTTACTGAACAAAATAGTGTTGGCCTGGCCCACAGGTTCAGGTAGCCCAATCTGTATTTGGGCTGGGCCACATTGGCATGGAGGTAACCTTCGTTGCTATGATATGTGAAAAATCATTCCCCGCCTAGAGCTCAACTGAAACAGTTTCTTCCTCTTTAAATAGGAGCTCCACTCCACTCCACTACATCTCTGTTTGTTCTTTCTCACTATCTTTGATTTCGTTGCGCGCCATTTCCTTCTTTTTATAGCTGTTATCTGTTTTCGATTCGTTGATAGGTAGGTATTCATCGAACTTCTTTTCTCTTTATTCATTAATGCACCGTTGTTTAATTCTGTTTCTGCGTAATCCCTTTGATATTGTATTATTAAAAAGCCTGTTCTTGTAATCTGAACGAATTCGGATAAATGATGCAGCAAACAACTGCGCTAATAATTATTTTTGGACACTGAGAGTCAAAGAAAATGGGTGGTTGTTGTTGTTGCTGTCCCGAAAATCCAGCCGAACCCAGTGCTCCACCGCCGCCACCTCCTCCTCCTCCGCCGCCACCATCACCATCACCACGGCTACCGCGGTCACCACGGCCACCACGGCCACCACGACCTCCTGGACCCGCCTCCGTCGGTTTCCCTCCCATTTAGTCACTATTTTGTTGTTGTTGCGCATGCACTACTTCCAAGTTTGAAATCAGTAGTTAATAATCGTTCTTTCTCAACCACTAAAAACTAGTGAAATCATCAAGGTTCAGATGAGCTAGTTTTGTGCATTTTATCATATCAAGATTGGATTTATAACAAAACCAGCTTGACCAAGATCAAGATTAATAATTCTTTTCGTCTCGCCCTTGACACATTCCTATGCATACATGCATTTACACGTGTGTGTACTACTATGATCAAGATTATATATATGATCGACATATTTATAGAATGTGTTTAGAGTTAGAATATGTTCAGCTGTACCTTTTCCCAAAATTAACTCAGTTTTCTACATGTTAAATTAAATTCATGGATCTTGGAAGGATAATCATCTTCGAAGTGGTGGCATTTATGACCTTTTGTTGGAGCGGGAAAGGGTAAAATGCCTTTGAGACTTCATTGAACTGAGTGAAATTTAACTTTCAAGAAATAATGAAATTATGAATGAGTCCCTCTACCATACTATTCCAATTTTAATTTTTTTGCTTCAAATTATACCAATAATTTCCATAAAAGTCCCTCTACGTTTTTTAACATCTTTCTTTTCTCTCTCTGTTTTATCATTTCTTTCTTTTTCCAATGCGAGGATCATATTTATTTTTAAGTTTTTCGTGCTTAGTCCGGGCAGGGATTAAAAATCAACTTCACCTTTGAGTGGAGTTTAAGTTGCTTTGTTTGATAACTCTATTGAACTCGACTGTTATTTCGAATTGTAGCAATTAAATATGTTTGATTATTCTTTCTTATTGAACAAGTGCACGGGGGACGTATAGACATTTCCTTTTGGCGTATACGCTCTTTGAACCCTACTCCATGTAACTAAGAACTTACAATTACCGAATCTCATCCTCTAATAATTATGTTGTCAATCTGTGATAGCATTCCCTCATTTGCCGCATTCCCTCTGCAGAACACAACATTAATTGCGGTGGAGGGACTAACAAAAACTTCAAGCTTTGGTACTTGTACACCGACACTTCCTTATGTTCCTCTCCGTTACAAAAGTCTAGGTGCCCCTCAAACTCCAACTGTAGCTCCAGAAACAGTTTATAGCAATGGGACCTCAGCTCGGAAAGAGAGGCAGAAGAAATCGAAAATTGAACTTCAAAAGTTGAGTGGATCTTCCATTTCAAATGGAGAATCTTTCACTTCAGTGGAACAGGAGGATATATGCAAAATTTGTTATGACGGTGATGCTGCCACACCTTCTTTATTCAACTTCTTTGCCTTTCTACATTGACTAAGCTTTATCATGAGGTAATTGTAGTCATCTTATTTCGTTGGGAATTGACGTTAGTTGATGTTTTTTCATCTTTTTATCCTCAGGGTATGATGCAGATGAGCCAAAAATCTATAGAAATTGTCACCATCATTTTCACCGTAGATGCATTCGTTTATGGATGTCAAAGAAGAGAGCTTGTCCTGTGTGTACTCAGGTTTGTCATCTTAATCATGATCGTCTGTCTTGAGATATTTTGAAACATAAGCTTATGAGTATTTATGTCTTATGATGCAGGAAGCGATTATCAACTCAGCTGCTTTAAAGATACCAACTACTTAGTTTGAAATTCAAATACACTTCCAATATAACGTGGAGAACCAAATTAACAAAATCGATAGTTCTTCTGTGTTGGCAACCCAAGTAAATGGCTGCATTTTGCTTGTCTAGTTTTCTGTCTTCACTGAGGGTTTGTTCATTTTCTTTGTCCACGATACATTAAACAAAGAAAAGTAAATATACAATGGCCACAGCCGAATGGCAGTGGAACGCAAACTTCCTTCCTTTTCATTGTTCTTTCATTAGCAAGTTGAAGTGAAATCAGGGTACATCTAAAGTTCGGGTTGGTAGAATTTGTGTGGGTGCGATGTCTTCCACATATTATCCTTGGAGACATGTTAGTAAATAAATATATATATATATATATATATATATATATATATATATATATATTTTTTTTTTCTTTATTTCATTTTGTGTCCCACACAATATCAATTTTGATAATAGATTGTGTTCTAGAAAAAAATTGCCACAAGTAAATGTTCAAAGTCCTTTAGTATTAGATAATCTTAATTATCCTTGATGGAGGCTTGATTGTACATTTATAAACTTTTTTGTTAATTTTTTGCATCTCTTGTTAACTCTCCTTGTGTGTTTGGTCATAGTTTTGTGTTTTCCATCTTCTAATAACTTTCCTTATGGATAGTTGAGGTTGAGGACCCGTTGACTAGAGTTTTATTGGCCATGTTTTATGTAAGACCTACGTGGAGACTAGTATCAATTTCTGGTTAAATTGAGATGTATATATATATCAATTAAATAACATTACATAATTAATTAAGTGATCAATTAAGATCACATATGGCATATAACGTGAATGAGTTAAAATTATAGATGAATAAGTTAAGATGATAATCAACGAAGCCCAGTGACTAATTAATTATTCATGCCCAAATATTAAATATAACGATCATTGCATAGTGAGTAGACTAGCTTGTCGTTGAAAAACTGTTATGTATCACGTCATCAACATTACGAAGATCTGACCATAAAACCGAACGTGAAGTTGCTTAAATGTTGCTGGAATGTTGTTTATCCATGGCTACGTGCATAATACCACGAACCATTGAGGGCACATGAACAGTTGTCATGCAGAGTAAGTGTAACTCCTCTTGTCCCCGTTACACGTTAAGATATCTGCACTTTTTAATTGTTCCACATAGATGCAGTTCAGGATTGGTTATGAGGGATGGCGGATTTTGATGCTGGCCAGCGTGCGAGAGTTGAATATTATAACATTCGGTTAATATATTTGTTATCCATGATGCGAAAATTGAACTTACATTTATAGACCTTCCATGTCTCTTGTTAACTCTTCACATCTGTTCGGACTCATGGACTACTTGCGATCAGTATCAACTTTTTACTTAATCCACTTGTTTCTTTTTTTTTTTTTTCATATTTTATATTTTAATCATTTGATTTTATTATTCACTGTCGGATTGGCAAAACACCACCAATATAATCAAAGAAAAAGAAATTGTTAAATTTTTATTTGATTTTATTAAAATAAAAAAAATATTTATTATTTTAATATTATTTATAGTATTATAATAAATAATAAAAATTTAATATTATTAAAATTTATCTTCATTAAAATATTTTTATTATAATTATTTTTTAATTTTTCTAATTTTCTTTGCAAATGTGTCAAGAAAATTTAGTCTTGCTGATTCAAATAAGTATTAATGAATTTTATTATTATTATTTGATTTTTCTCATCTTAATTTGTTTTAAAGGTTGGGATAAAAAAACGTGGAATTAAAAGAATATCTATGTGATTTATTTTATGTCAAAAAAAAAATTATGTTATTTTGATCGACAATCACAAATTAATTCACTAGGTGAGAGTTGACAGAAATTTTCAAACTTTAAAATTTTTATATTTAATATTAAAAGCTTTTATAATTTCATGTAAGCCCTTATAGCTCAGTGGTAGAGCGTCAGTCTTGTAAACTGAAGGTCCGTAGTTCGATCCTGCGTGAGGGCATTGTAGTACATTTTTTATTTTTGTTCCTTAGATGAATGCATAACGCAAATAATTTGACTCTATTCATAGTTTAGCAATGGGAATTCGGTAATAACAAAAAGAAAAAAAAAAAAAAGAACTACAGAAGAATCATTACAGAATTTCTATCTGGATGCATACTATGCGAAGTACTTTTTTTAATGGAAGGCATCTGGTTTGAGCTCTTTTAAAATGCTGTAGAAAGAACACCGAAATAGTATGCAGAACTTTTATTAGAAATCTTTTGTATGATTCGAGAGTTTCCTTATAAAATACAAAATCTAAGTTGAAGTGTGAATTTGGACATTTGCATTAAGCCTGGTAAGTTTGCTCAATGTTTCACGAGCTGATATGGTATCTGGATGATCTTCACCACAAATTGAAGTCCTAATAAAAACAGCCTTCCTTATCAGATCATCCCCTATGTCAAATTGAGCACCTCTTAGCATTAGCTTGGCCCTAGTCTCGAGAACAGTGGCTCTAGTCAATGCTAACTCTTGCCAAAGGCAAGGATTCAACTCAGCATTAGTCTTGATGGATCTCCAGCAAAGTGATTTGTCTAACCACTTGTCAACAGGGGTAACAAATGCTTGGTCTGCAGCTTCCAATGCATTGGTGCACAGACGCAGAAGCTCAAGAGCAGCACTGCATCGCGAATATGTAATGAATGTGTGAATTGCTAGAGGCAGAACCACTCTTTTGACAAGATACAAAAGCTCAGACACCTTGAGCTCAACAACCACAGGATCATGACCAAATCCAAACAGCAGAAAGCATGCAGCCCATAAATGTTCCAGATTTTGTGATATTGACCCGTGACTGATGATAGCTTGAATCATTGCTTGTGCAGCTCTAATGTTTTCTCTTTTCCGAGCATACAGTTTGAAGACCTCATTGATATGGATGTAGCCTTGCTTGGTACTATTTCTTGCAATATTAAACCTCAGCAATAAAGAAGATGCCTCTAATTCTGGTTTTTTGGCGTAAGAGGATGGGAATCCACATGATAATAATTGCAGCATTTTGCTCCAGAAACACTTTCCCTGACATCTTTCTGGCACCTTCTGAGCAGCAAGTGCCAATAAGGAAACAGGAATAGCACCAGGTGCAAACCATCCACTTACCAGCACCATTCTGGTGGCCAAGCTTCTTGGACAATCTGCATGATCAAATATGGAGAAACAAACGTCAAAGAGTTGAAGAAGGAAAGCGTTCTTCCTGAACGAGTGAGCTTCTTTACCACTCCATGTCATCTCCTTCAAAGGCATTCTATTTATGGTATCTAGGAGCCTGCTCGGTGTTATGGGTAGTTCAGACAAAATTGCACTGATAATGGCAAGGCCCAGAGTTAACCTTCCAACTTTCTCCTCGATACTTCTCAGGGCATCAACCTCTGCAACCGAATAGTCCTTGCCGCTACCTACCATTAAAGACATTGCCTCAACGCCAGATAAGTACGAAAGTTTCAGAGGTTCCAAGTTCATGATGCGAGGAAGGCATGTTGATACAATAACATGGGTTTCTCCCCCAAAACGAGGGAGAAGATCCATGACAAGTTTGTGATCCCACCAATCCTTTTCACTTTCCAAGTTATCAATGATCACAAGATATGGAATGTTTCTCATCAGTTCTCTGCGAACTCTAGAAATTGCAGCCACTTCCTGCTCTTCAAAGCTTCTTATTTTTGTTTTCTCCAAACTACTCTCAACTCCCACGTCAACTTCTAAAAATGATCTGATATTTAGATAATTTTGCCTTATGTATCTGCTCTCCCCTCCTATCCATAAAACCATCTTGTATTTCTGATGAAATCTGTATGCAAATTCAAGAATAAGTTCCGTTTTTCCAATTCCTGAATCCCCAGAAACACAAGCAACCCCTTTCCCATACAAAATCGTCATTCCATTTTTCCTCTTATTATACTTTCCCCGCTTGAGCCTTGGATGGTTGTGCCTGTGAGAAAATTCAATACCTTGCATTTCAATTTCTTTTTCTGACTCCTTCCACACAACTGACTCTTTTTCCTTCCTGGTGTCGTTTCCCATGTGCCTTTCCATCCATCTTTCATCTATCACGTTGCTCTTGCCCCAACCAATTCTCACACTCTTTCTCCTGGGCCTGGCCTTGAATTCAATAAAGTCTTGTTCTGCATCTCCTGTGACATCACCAAAAAGTATAAATTCCAACTGTGAAAGCTCTTTCTTCCTGCCAATAAAATTCTCATTTCTAACGAAAGGAAACTCCTCTTTTTCTATTTTTTCTTTCCACTTTGTTACACGTTCTGCAACGCTTCTCCTTCCTAACCTCATTGCTAATAATGTAACAGCCCCCAATATGCAATCTCTCCAGTTGCCATCCTGAGCTTCCAATTTGCACTCATCAACCCGAGAAAGGCCATGCACGGCATCTTTCCACTCTTGCTCCAACCCTTCATACGAAAGCCAAAGTTCCCCTCCATGTTTTTCCCACAGCTCACCCCTCTTTTCAATTATATCCCTGACAAGACAATCAGCTGGACTCAAATCAAAGTATATTGGGACCAAATTCTTCTTCCTACAGAAAAAATTCAGCTCCTCAATGGTGTATTGGTTCTTGAAACACTTCTTCGTTATAATTACTATACCAAAAGAAGCAGCATCCATAGCTCTCTCTGCAATGCCAAGTTTGCGGGAGCTCCTACTTCTAGCCCTGTCCGAAACAAAGCAACTGATGCCTTGAATTTCCAACTCAGCAGACAGCCATTTAGCAAATCGTAATAAAAGAGGTTTGCTTCCATGCATTCCTATGAAAACATCACAACTCCTCAGCCTAAAAGAAGAAAATGATGTGGAACCGGGAGTTGAGGATGTTCTATGGTTTCTGTCTTTCTTTATTCGCTTTTCTTTCAGTCCAGAATAACCATCATGATGGCAATTCGTGTAACTAGATATGCTGCTACTTGAGATGCCAACTGAGGAAGATTTACGATCAATTTTCTCCAAATCACCTGAATTATATCCAGAGGGAGATGCATATACATCTGAGATGGTACATCTAACATTTACTAGTGAATTTGGTTCTGGAATCTCTAAAGTGGTGCATGAGGGAGCCATACCCAAATGAATTATGTTACTTGGCGCATCAAGCCTGGCTGACTCTGATAATTGACATGATGATGGTGATCTTGGAGAGAAAAAGGGTGACTGGTTTGCTGAAAAGAAAACAGAAGACGATGATGACATATTCCTTGTACTCATGGCTGTCAAGGACCCAAACACGGGACTCTCTTCCTGAGTGTCCATGTCTGTACTTGTAGGATTGCCAATGATGCAAGATACCAAATCCCATGCACGCAGCCACGCAATTGTGTATCTGAAGTTGGGATGATGATGCACAAGTCAGTCACAAGGTTTATTCCAACAACCAATATGCACAAATGAAGCCAAACTGAATGTTCTGCATTGTTATGTTCATGCTAGCGCTGAAATAAAAACAACATAAAAAATGGTAAATGGAGGCATCACCATCTAAGTTATACATCTCAATTTTTACATGATAGGTAAAACTTTACCCAAAGAATCGAATTCGTCAACTCACAAAAAACAGCAAAAATCATTACTAGGAAGCAAAGAATAAACTTAAATGAAAATACTTTACAAGAGGTAAATTTTGTGGGAGGGGACGCAAAACTTTACAGAAAGAAATTGATTCTGAACAGTGAATGCACCCAAAAATGATGGTATCTGCTTGGGGCATACACTCATTTGGTGCACAGGACTCGTGTCTAATTAATTCAATAACCAAATTCAAAAGTAACGAAGAAGGCACCATCATTAAGAGTACAATCATAACTCCTTCTCGGAGAGAGAGAATTCATAGAATCATAAAACTGCATTGGGGTTCAGATCTGAGTACTTACAAGGATACCAAACAGAAGCACACTTGGGAAGATTCTCTGTCTCGTCTCCAACCAAATCAATCTCGTTTCTCTGAACATACGAGGAAGGTCATAACGATTAAAACTTAGAGCGAGCCGAATTTACGAGTACAGCAACAGTGAAATAACTAACTCAAGAAAACCACCAAGAAACACATCATGACCACAACATTGTATAAACAAACTTATAGTACATACTATTCAATATAGACATCATTAACGCATCAACTGGATCACTCAACTATTGAGTGGAAGGCCAAAAAACACTTGGAATTAAGTGGTGAGAGACTGCGACATTTAGATGACCTGAGAGTATTTGGGAGACACCTCACACCGGTTCAGAAAAGAGGGAAAAGGACAGACTCGTTGAAAATGAAGGCAAAAACTGTACCTTTTCTCAGAAGGGAAGAGAACAAGTCTTAGGGGTTCAGAAACTCTAGCTGTTTTTTGATAAGCACGCTTTTTTGTAAGTATATATATAACTAAAACCTGTCTCTGACCCTCTCAACATCACCCTTTCACACTCTGTCTGTTATCATTATTTGTATGACTTTCTTCAACCTTTACAAGACATTTGCTTTTTAATTTTCCTATGAATCTTTGGGTAGAGAAGTAGTTTATATTTTATATCTGTGTGTGTGTGTGTGTGTCTGCAAGACTGAGAAAATGGTCTGAAGGGGAAGGAAGGAACAGGGTGGGAAGAAGGCAATGGGACCAAAGATGGGATCTGACTAGGGTATGGTGGGAATGGAAGTAGGCTCCACAACCATTTATACCACAGTTAACTTTGCGGATATTCACACTGTGATTTTGGAGCATTTGCATTGTGGATGTTAAAAAAATTGGAAAGAGATAGAGTTGCCTTTTTTTTACCTGTGGGGTGCCTAAAAGGCAATTTTGATTAAGATAGTCCAAAGCAAAACGTGGAGTTTTGTACTTTGTGGGATATGTGTGTGACTGACGTTTTGAGGTTCTAACTTCTGAGGATCCTTTCTCTGCACTGCCACTCTTTCATCACCTCTTTTTTTCTCTTCTCTGCTCCTCTGTACTCTACCGCACTATTCCTCCCCTCTTTTTGTTTTCAACATACGCACAAATCAACAAACAGATAACGGTTACCTAAGTCACATGTAATTTGTAAAATACTCCCGTTCCACTGTAATTTGGTTTGGTTCAGAATCAAGCACATTTCAAAATCCTGTCTTTACATTACCTGTAACTTTGTTTTTATTGGTTTTTTTTTTTAATTTACCTTTTAAATAATACATTCTTTTATGAATATTTTCCTCATTTTGTTAATAAGACAATTTATAAACATTTATCATAAATTTCAATAATTAGACATTATTCCGAGGTAAGTTACCAACTTATCCAATTATTTCCTTAAATAGATTTAAGTACGTTGCTGGTATTTTTATGTAAATTCCGAAAATTATTGTTCTAATAAGTGATTCCAAAACGTTTGATATTAAAGGAGTTTTTTTTTTATGTATAAAAATCGTAATTATTCAAATTGTTATTTTTAAAATGATTATTAAGAGTATATGTATATTGAATTATTCATTTAAAAAGAGTAATATGATTTTTTTCAGTAAAATTTTGTTTTATATGAAAAGTTACGCTTTCATCTTCCATATTAGAATTTTTTAGAAAATTTAATAAAAAAATACAATGACTTAACTCATTACTATAAACAAACTTTGATCTCTTATAATTTAAATCATAAAATTCCTCATTTAAAGAAAACTTTATTTAACCAACAATTTGATACAAAAATTAATATATGTTTATTTTTATTATATTGGCTTATAATTTTCATTAATTTGTGATAAAAGAAATATTTGACACAATAGATTAATAATTTTAATTGAATTATGCGAATATATATAATGGTTAACTTTCCACTCCACGTGTCATGTGTTGATATAAATGAATTTGACATATGCCTCATTGCTTAGTATATCTTTGTCACTATTATTTCCATTTTATATTGGTCAATTCAATAAGTCAAATTATGTACATTTGCATACAAGTGTCTTTATAAAACAGTTGTCATATTATCACTCGTCACCATAATTTTCTAAATTTAAAAGTAGATTCATATTTTTTTTATCATTTTATTCATAATATTGAAATAAATAATAAATAAAAAATATTATCACAATAAACTTTCGAACTTAAAGTAAATATATATATATATATATATATATATATATATATATATATATATTAAATTGTCCCTCAACATTATAGTTTGCATACAATGGGTTTGGACATCAATTTAGAAAATCAAATTACTTTATGAATCTTTTAATAGTTGACTATTACAATATGTGATCTATAATGGATTGGATAGTTCATTTATCATCTCTATTTCATCTACTTCTTTCATATAATTAATAATTGTTTAAGGAATTAGTTTAATTAGTTGAGCATTTGAGTTGTTGTAATTTTGTATTTAATTCTTACAAGATAAAAAAAATGATTAAACAATTTAATTTTTATAAATTAATATTTCTATAAAAAATTTACTTTCTAAAGTTAAAAAGGGTTTTACTTTTTTCGTAAGATGTATTTATACTTTTTTTTTCATTAACACAGTTTATAAAGACTTCATCTCACTCTGATTAAGTTCAAATTAAAGATAAATAAATTTTGATAAATGAATATTTTTGTCGATACCCTTAATTTAGACAATATTTAAAAACTTGATTTTGAATTCAGTACATTAATTACTTGTGTGAAAAATGTATTTACATTTATATAAACATCATTTAGAAACACAAAGTGAAGTTAAGAAAAAAGAGCTAAAAAAATATTAATTTTTTGTTGTGTTTTGAAAAAAAAACATTTGAATTTATAATAAAAAGATAAAGTTGATTAAGATAAAGAATAGGACGAATGAAAGCGAAGATAGAATGATGAACTTACAAATGATTTGAATGGAACGACCAAGGAGTACGCCAACCAATCCATGCATATAAAACAGGAAGAGAGGACAAAAAACTTCAAAAGTGGAACACAAAATTCAAACATTTAATTAATTGGTCATATTAATACAAAATAGTATTATCATTATTATAAAATATGAATATACAAATCACATATATGATAAATTATGGATTAAGTATCATTTTACTATTTCTTTAAAAACTAGTTAATTTTTTAAATAATTTATTTTATATATAAAAGAAAAAGAAAAACTCCGTGGTGGTGGTTTTATTTTTATTTTGTTATGTTGGTTTGAAATAAATAATTTGTCAAAGAAAAATAAATAAATAAATTGAAACGGCAACACACACACATGACCGTTTGATTTTCTTAAAGCAACGGCTGTGATGTTTGTAAGAAGCATAGGATTTGAGCACATGCGACCATGTGATGTCAGAGATCACACCACATACCAATGAATGGCTACGATTACGACACTTGCTACTCATGCAACCACTTTCTCTGTTTTATAAAACTATAAGTATTTTTCTAAATTACCCTTATGGCGTAAGATAGCAAATTCATAATTAATGGGACCCAACTTGTGCAAATATAGGATTCTATATTTATAAATGGAACCCAATTTTATGGTTTCCAAACACTGTGCTAACTATAGGCCAAATTTTCTTTTTCCAAATGTGTATAATATAATAACAATATTTTACTTTATCTTTCTACTTTCTCTCTCTCTTTCTTCTTATTTCTTGCTAAATATAACACATAATAATTAAATTTATATTTGTTAAAAATGTTTACTTAATTTTGTCTGATTATAGTTTTTTTTAATTTATGTATTTTTAATAAATTTCATTTTTATATATTAAAATTTTACCAAGGGTATACTCTTCATGTATTTTGTTCAAAAACTTCTCATGAAATACTTATTTATTATTTTTTTACTGAATAAAAAATGCATTGAAAATGATTTTAAAACGTAATAAAATCAAAATGAAATTATATATATGTAGACCAATTATATGGTTTAATATTAAATCTATAAATAATAATAATAATAATAATTTGAATCTATCAATCACATCATCATTCATCTAACCTTAATTTGAATGACACACGCTATAAAATCATTTCCCTAGACACAGCCGTACGATTGCAGGAACCTAACTGGAAAGTGTTGGGTTTTAGGCTGCCTCATGCTTCACTGTCACACTCACACACCCTTTGCTTTAACTTAATTAATTAATTTCAACTATAATCAATGCAAAAAAATAAAAAATTAATCTTTTAAGGTACACATTTTACATTATAAGATATGTGAAGATATTTGAAGGGGATGTTGGCTGAATTTGGGCTACTAAGGTAAGGTCCATTCAAGTCCATTAAAGATCAAAATTTTCCTTTTTAAGATTGCATTCCACCACCAAATTTTGTTAGTGTAAAAATCTGAGCTTGAATTGGTCTCTTAATTAATATTATTATTAGGACTATATATGTGCTCCTCTCAATGACCAAAGAAAAGTCATTTACAACTTTTAATTTGAAGTCAAAGGAAAAACAAGGGAAGAAGGGGAAAGAGAATATGTAGCATGATGGCTTGATCATTTGATATTCCCCCAAACTTTTACCCGCAGTTTCCAAAAAATGTACTTAACCAATAACTTACTCAACTCATAAAGACTTCAAACTTAATAAACACAAGTCATTTTATTCTTGCCAAATCATCATGAATCAACACATTTTTAATTCAGTGGAGTCAAGTTAATGTATGAAATATTATGAATTTTACATTCTACTTAAAATTTGTTTTTTGAGTTAAGTTAATTATGATATATTGTGATTTTTCAATCTATTTACAAGTTGTTTGGAAAACACTTTTAAGAGAGAAAATAAAAAAATTAGAGGCAAATTCATTATACATCAATAATTTGTAGAATTTATCCCATATAGTTTATCTAAATTTTTCTTTTTAACTCTTATATATAAGATAATTTTAATATATAGAAAAATATGTTATATTTTTCATTTCTTTTAACATGTTTACGGAAAATTTTTTCCGACATATATTTTTGGTTTTCAAAGAATTATAAGTCAAATAAGTCAGACAATGTGCTACTATTTTTAAAATTTTAGAAATATATCAGAGTAAATCAATTTTAAATAACAAAGTATTAAAATATTTTAATTACTGTAAATTAAAATAAAGATATACAAGTTTTCAGCTATACAATTGAAAAATATAATTATAGAAAACTTATAATATATTATTTGTTACCATAAATAAGTGTTCAATTTTTTAAAAAATTACTCATGAAATATTCACTTTAATATAGACATTAATAACATATATAATATTAAAATATTATTCTAAAAAGAACTAATAATAGAAAATAAAATAAGAAAATGGAGTCGACAAACTAGTCCAGCCTCGGGCTTACTCAATTCAAATCTAATTCTATTAAGAAAAGAAAAAAAAGATAAAAGAAAAAACTGATTCATGAACAAAGGTAGGTGGGTGGGCTTTGTATTTCACCACTTTAATAAGCTCATTATTATCTTCTACCACAGTTAGGTAAGCATAAACCATTTGTACTTTTTTTTTTCTCCTTATTAACTCCTTCTTTTCTTCTTTCAATGTTTTTTTTTTCTTTCTCCTGATTAACTCTTGTTAACACAAAACATGAAAAAAGGAATAATTTTTAGCTAAATTACAACTTCGATCACTATTTCTGAGATAAAGAAAATCTGCTAATTGAATACGCCCTTAAAAGTCCTGAAAAACTGCTGCAGTTGATTTCCAATTTGGCACGTTGATTTGATGCTTTCATTTTTTTTTTTCTTAGCAAGAAGTAGTTGAACAAGGCAAAACTTCAGCCTGCGATAATTTAACGCGAAAAGGAAGAAAAAGGGTAATATGTGACGCTGGTTTGAGATCCGGTATCCGAAGAAAGGAAGAAGGATTTGATAAAAAAATAATTTTTGTTCAGAAAGAAGAGAACCATGACTTTCAGAGAGAAAAGTAACAATAGCAGTAGCAGCAGATTGTGAAAGAAAAATGCAGAGGGTTGAGATTGAAGGGGGAAGAAATTTGGCTGCGGTGGACCCCGAAAGGAAGCGTTGGAGAAATGGGTGAATGCAGACACTGACACACGTGCGCATGGACTTGTTTCTATTTTCTTTTGTGGCAGGTTGGTTGCAAAGGTAAAGCAGCATTATTACGAAGGTACCCTGAGAGTGGAAGGAAGGGTAGCATAGAGAATCGCAGAGTGAAGGGGACAGTTGAGTAAGTTCGTAACACTTCAATAACATCACCCAACAATACCCATCATGTGATGTTACCATTTTAATATTACTTAATGAACAAAGAAAGACCCGTAGTAAATTCACTTGACATTAACACCAATCAAACCAAACCAACTAAGTCAGTCATTGCCGTGTTTTTGACCTCTTCAACACCAATACACTGTCTCCCATCTTCTCACCCCCCCCAAATTACACGACTAATATGCAAACTATTGATATCAAAGATTGGTTCTATTTTCTGTTCATCTTCCAAGTCCTAACTATTCCTAGTTCTCTCAACTTTTCATGTCTCTTCCTTCTTTGTGTATGTAAGTTTAGAAGCATCTAATCCCCTGCTCGCTGCTACTCTGCTTTTGTATCCATCCCTATTCGTAAAGAAAGAGGTAGAGAGATGAGAGGCGATGCCAGAGCTGTGAACAACACTTTGGAGACTATCAACGCTGCTGCAACTGTCATCGCTTCCGTCGACAATCGCCTTAGTCAACCTCATCCTCACGTCCAGGTATAATATATAAATAATTCATACCATAATCACTTGTATCAATTTTGAAATACTTTCGTGGAAAAGAGAGTACATAGAGAGATTTTTTCGGCTACAGATGTGGATTTGATCTATTTTATGCTTGAGACCTGTCGGTTCTCTGTTCCCCCTTTCTCTGTTTTACTTGGCCAGATTTCTATCATGCAAAACTTCATTTCATGTTCAATATTGCTGTGATGATAACTTTACTAGTTATAATCAATCTCTTATCCAAAAATAATGATCTTTTAGAAAAATTGTTTTTGGGTTGAACAATTCTATGTAACATACATTACTTTTTCAAAATATATATAGAGTTTCTGAATAGTTAAGCCAAGTAGAACTTCAAAATGTTTGATAACGTGTATAATATTGTGTTTGATGAGGTACACTGGAGAGATAACACATTTCTGTTTCATCGTTTATTTATTTATTTGATATTTTCTGAATATACTCATTTTTCGTTATTTAACGGTGATCTGATATTTGAAGTCAACTAGCACATCTCTACATTTCTTACCACTCATAACTGGTTCCGTTCCAGCGAATGCCATATGATTTACAGCCTCATACTTTTAGTGAATACATTTTTATCCAGAATTAGACTCGATATATTTCTCTATCTCTTGCTCACAGAGTTGATTTCCGAAATGGTGATGTCTAGTTGCAGACTAATAGCATGTTTCCTATGCAGTCTGGACCCTGTCATGCCATGGCAAATTCATTGTCTTGTCTTCTTACTTTACTCATCCTGCAATCATTTATTTATAAACTCTTGCTGAGCCTACTTGTGTATGTTTCTCTACTTGTGAAGTCTTCTATGACTGGAAAATAACTCAATTTTTGTTGCTTGCAGAAGAAAACGTGGGGAAAGTGGCTGAGCATATATTGGTGTTTTGGATACAGCAAAAACCGAAAGCGCATTGGGCATGCAGTCCTTGTTCCGGAAAGAGCACCTTCTTCTGCAGATGTTGCTTCTGCAACAGTAAGTGCAACACAAGCACCTACTATTCCATTCCCCTTCGCCGCACCTCCCTCATCTCCTGCATCTTTCCTCCACTCAGAACCTCCTTCAGTTGCACAATCCCCAGGTGGTATACTATCTCTCACTTCAGTGTCTGCCAGCATGTACTCTCCTGGTGGTCCTTTCTCTATCTTCGCCATTGGACCTTATGCCCATGAAACACAATTAGTTTCACCCCCCGTTTTCTCAACATTCACCACTGAACCATCAACCGCTCCCTTCACTCCACCTCCTGAATCTGTCCACTTGACTAGACCTTCTTCGCCTGAAGTGCCATTTGCTCAACTGCTTGACCCCGGCAACAAAAATGGTGAGACCTACCAGAGGTTCCAAATATCTCAATATGACTTCCACTCTTATCAACTTCACCCTGGAAGCCCTGTTGGTCAACTCATTTCACCAAGATCAGCTTTCTCAGCTTCGGGCACCTCATCTCCTTTCCCTGATGCGGAGTTCACTTCTCGTGGCTCCCTCCTCCTTGACTTTCAAACAGGTGACCCTACCAAGTTTCTAAACTTTGAGAAATCGTGTACGCATGAAAAACACAAATCACGTCAAGGCTCTGGCTCTCTAACCCCGGATTCTATAAGATCCACAACTCAAGCTGGTTTCCTTCCTAATCACTGGGTTTCTGAGATCATAATGTCTCCACGTCCAAGAAAAAATCGCCCCAATGAGATTAGTCTAAACCACAGGGTCTCTATTGAAGTGTCTTCCCAAGAGGTATTGAAATGTGTGGAAAAGAAGGCAGTGGCATGGACTAAATCACTCCCAAAATTCAAAACTGATACACCAGGAGCTGGAAAAGAAGATAATTCAAGAGAAGTCCTTGTCAGTGAAACTCCCAATTATGCCCCTCAGCAGACCGCGGTGGATGGAGATGTGGAAAGTGTTCATTATAAGGATGAATGTATAACATTTTCCTCTGCTAAAGAATTCAACTTTGATAATGCCGAAGGAGGGGATTCTCCTGGGCCCAATTTAGTTGTTGAGTGGTGGGCTAATGAGAAAGTTGCATGCAAGGAAGGAGGTTCCTCCAAAAATTGGTCTTTCTTCCCCATGGGATTGGCTAATCGCCAATGAGGGCTCCCTTAGTTTAGAGACAGTTAGTTAGCATAAACTTGCTGGAATTTTGCATGGGTTATGACTTTGGTGCCATTGTAACGTAGCATCCAACACCACCCCTGCTAAGAATTTTGCGTTGGTAGATCTAACAGATAGAGTGATGGGAATATTTTTGAACTTGCTGGCCCCAAAAAATGAAGGTAAGTTTTGCAGACTCTAGTTATCAAAATTTCGGGTACACCTACTTTAGATTAGGAATGATTTTACTTACATTTATAGCATCTCCATTCTCCTCAACTGTTAACCTTATTGTGTGTAAGTGTAATATAGTTGACATAAAGACAGTGGTTACCAATGACCAATCATAGTTTTCATTTTTTTACAATGACTGACAGTTGTAACATTTAGCGATGTTCTTAAATTTCACTCTAGTAATTTCCAGCAAAATACAGTTGTGACAAACTACATGGAGAAGTAGAGGAAAAATGAAGTTTTGTCTGGAGAAAGATAATTAAATCTCACTGGTAATTATTAACAGCAATAATAACATTTTTATTACAACTTGAACTACTGAGGTATAATAGAAAGTCCACTGTTACAAAAATAGCTGAGTATCGAACATTGCAGCACCTTCTTCATCAATCCTCAGTTGCAGTAGACCCAAGACATCTCATCAGTGGACAATTGTCACGTCATAAAAGAATTTCAATGGTCATATCTTGCATGTTGCTTTTTTATTAAATAAGACATTTCATCAAAATTTTTTTACATCATAGCATATTCAACTTAGAGTGCTACTTAATAAAAAATATTTTGAAATCAATCTTAATAATAATAAAAAGTCCTAAAATATTAAGTTAATTAAATTTTTTTTTACTATGTCAGTAACCAATTTTTTAAATTATGTTTATTAAATTTAATAGAAACACAAACGGTAAAACGAATATCAATCTACATTTTTATATTATTAATATTTAAAAATAATTTTAAAATTTTACTTTATTTTTTCAAGCCCTTTATATATATATGAATTATGTTTCTGTTTTTATATGTCCACGTGACTATCTTCAACTTCTGTTTCAATTATTACATGTTATTCATTTGTTGATGAACATATATTCCTCTTGGTCTAATTACTGGATTTTGCTCAGGTACGTTAAAGCAGCAAATTTGGGAGAATGAAATTGGCAGATTTTAGTAACTCTCTATATAATTTTTTTATGATAATTTGTCTTGAGTTAAATATTGTTGGGATTTAAGATTTTTTTATATGTATTATTTCTATATGTAAAATATATTATATAAAAAGGTAAAAATATAATAAAATATTAAATATAAACAATATTGTTATCTTAATTATTTAGATTAAAATAATAATGTAATGTTTTTTATTTTAAATAATAAAAAAATTAACAACTAATTTAAATAATAAGATAATAAAACTTTTAATATTATTTTAATATTTTTCTCCTCAATAATTTTTTACTATTTTTTATGGTATAACATCATATTTTCTTTCAATTTTTCATTGTTTTATTTGTGTGACTTTTCTTTTCAATCACTTATAAATAAATATTTTTCTTGATTTTTTTCACATAAATCTTTTTTTTTTATAATCTTTCATTTATTCTTTAAATTTTTCTTTGAAATTTTCTTTCTTAATTTCATTCTATTTGTCTTTCCTCACAAGGTGAATAAGACATTTTTTCTTGAAGAAGACTCATTTTTCCTGTCGATTTTCTTTTATTTAGTTTTTTTTTAAAGATAAACAAATTTACAATAAGTTTAAACTCATTCAAATTTTATAATTTTTTTTAATTCAACCTGAAACATTTTTATTTCATAATCACAGTTGTCAAACTCTTCATTCTTCTTAAGAGCCTCTGGTTGGCCTTTAAGAAATTTTCAAATCTTCTTTTTAGGATGCATACGTTACAACGTTGCTTACATTTTGAACAATTTTTTCTTAGAAACTTGTTACTTTTTGGAGTTATGCTTCAACGTAGGTAAAATTGATGTTGATAAGGATAAAAAAAGTTTTTATTAATGACATTAATCTTGATGATATTTTTTTATAGGACTTTTTTATCCCACTAATTGGACTTCATTTAATTAATCGTAAATCTCTTTAAATGACTTACAAATTATGATTTTGGAGATGAGATCCTATATGAAACACCAATAAATAAATGATCTCATTCTTATTTTTATCAAATTTTTTCTTTTAAATTTTGATTTTGATCATGGTAGAATTAAAAAAAAAAAAACAAATCAACAATATAATCATCTTTCACAATTTCTTCTAAAATTAGTCCTTCAAGATTAAAAATACATTCATAAAGTCCACAAGTAATAATTCTCATCTTAAAAAAAAAAATGAAACAATAACTTTTAAAAAACTTCTTAATCATATCTAATAAAAACCAAAACTTTAATACCCCTATTAAGATTTAGGTTTTTTCATATGTATTATTTATATACGAGACATATCATATTTATATATGAATAATTTTGGATTGGAAGGCGGAACCATTTGAAGGAGCTGTACCCTAAATGTAAACTAATTGTATAAATGTGAGGCCCTGGTTGGGATTGGTTACATGGAAAGTATGATGAGTTTGGAAGGTATATATTAGAAAGTAGAAACAAAGTTACAACTTCATTCAAGGCTTAATTCTCCACTATGTTGGAGTCTTAAATGTGGGCAAGGCTTTTCCGGTTCTCCACTTTTCCACAAAACCATCAAATCTCCTCGCTTCCGCCCCAATGTCATTAAGGTTCCTGCATTAATAATTAATACATATTACTACTAATAACCACTTCACCAATTTCCTACATACATTGTGATTTCAATTATTTTTTATCTCAATATGAAAAGTACCAAGGATAAATGGAACGATGTATAATAGTGCTGGTTGCCCATGCCCATCCATCAAGTTTAGTGCCACGTACGTAATTAAAAGACCTACCAACATTAGGAAAAAGTCAGGTCATGTCCCAATCAATCATGTAACTTTTAAATCAATAATAATAAAAAAAAAACACTTTTTTATGTTATGGAAGTCAACAAAGGTGATTGGTATTTCATTCTCACCAAAGCCATATGCAAACATTGCCCACAAGAAATATCCACTTCTAAGGCTCTTATTTGCCAGCCAATCGTACCTGCAAACACGTAACATTTTGATCAGAAAAGCTTTTTCATCATCTAAAACTTATCTAAAAAGTATACTGCAAAAACCACAGCCTTGCTCTTCCATCTAGGAAGTTGGTGTTTTAAGAAATCTCTTGGGAAGGTTTGTAGATTGCGGAAATCTCTAGATCTTCGCAACCTATCATAACTACTTCTCTGAGCTTGTTTCTGCCTTGAACTCATTTGGTTTTGTTCAATTCTATGTTAATTGCTTGATGCGAAAGTTGAAATTTTCCCATTGAACAAAATCATCAATTAGGCCTTGATTTTGCTAATCTGGATTGTTCTCACCATCTCTTGTCCTGAACACTCTTACATTGTTCACACTCTAGCAAACTTCGAAGAAACCCACTTGCTTTACGAGTTCTTCATTATCTAAAAGACAATCTCGACTAGGGTCTTTTGCTTTTCAAGGACAGTACTTTACATCTTAATGCTTACTGTGATTCACAGACACTTGCCCTTTGACTCATGGTCTGACTACTTCTTATATTGGTATCTATTCTTGTGAGAGTCAAGCATCTCTCTCCACATTGTTGCCAATTCTATATTTCACCCATCAAATATATTGAGGTTGAATGTCACTTTGTTCAATATCAGATTCAAACTGATAACATCACTATCTTTCATGTTTGTACCAACCTACATCTAGCCGACATTTTAGACATTTTTACAAATGCTTTCGGGAAGCAATAATTTCAATTCTTTTTTCACAATTTGGACATCCGAGATCTTCATGCTTCAATAGGGAGTATTGGGAGAAGTAATCGTTATGTATCTTAACATATGTCGCAGTTGTATATTCATCTAATTTAGTATAGCACAATTAACTCCTACAATTTCATACTTTTTTACATAAATCATGCAAGTGATAAAGGATAGAAAAGAAGAAGGAGATATAACCTGAGTGAGAATGCCACCAGCATTCCAGGTAAAAGGATGTCTCCAAAACCTATGATGCTGTAGCCACCCCATGGATCAAAAATACGTGGAAACTTCAGTAACATGGGAATTCCATCTTCTCCACTTCGATCACCTCGGGCTACCTATTGTGAGAAAAAGTAAGCAAAATAGAAATCGGTAAATACATGGGGGTGTTAGTAATTATCATGCATTACAGTGGAGCATAATACATACCACAATCATGACACTTTCCTTGAAAAACTTCTTTGAGACAAACACCCAAAAGATGTCGTAGATGAAGGCACAGCTGAGAAGAACTGTACCAACCTGATTCAGGTAACAATCAAATATTTAACAAGACTGTCTTGATGCCTATTTGGGATGGCTGCCAAATTCTATATTTTTTAAAAACTAAAACCAAATTTAATTTTATGATCTGTTTTAGTTTTTTTGTGGTGATGACCTTGGTGACAACAAAAGTCAATGGCAGTTGTGTTGGTAGTGATAGTTGTATTGACGTGATAGGAACTTGGGTATTATGGGGTGCCTAAATCCGATATTGAATAATATGGGATGCTCGGTGGCGTATTTAAACGTTTGGTTCTCCCATCTCACTTATAGGTAGCATTTAAGGGTAGATTCCACAATTGCTTATCACGATGACAATCATAATAATGAATGACAGTCAGTGGAAGGAGAAGTGGCTGCAACAACAGTAACAACGAATGACAGTCAGTGGAAGGAGAAGTAGCTGCAACAAAGTAGCCAACGATGACCAATGATGATGATGATCGTGAGTAATTACTGTGATGTTGATGGTACCAAGTGTTTCATTTGGGATACATGGGAGATTTGAATGGGTTATTTTTACAACTAAAACCATAAAGACTCTTTTTATATTTGAAAAATTATGTTTAGAGTGCATTCAAGAATAATTTTAGCATGGATAACATAAATCACAACACAAACATGATAATGTAAACTCAAATAATTACCTTGAGATTTGGTACATGTACAATCTGTAGAACTGTTATTATCAGTGCGATTCCCTGTTAGAGTAATCAATGAAAAAGAAATTATGATTAAATGGACGGTGAATAATAGCTTATCCAGTTAAGTATAAAAACTAAACAGCATTTTCATATATTATATCTAAAATAGAAAAGTTCATTATATTTGTACAGTTGGGCAAGGAAATATTATGAAAAACAAGAATTTTGAAATAAGGATCCAAAAGAAGTCTTCACCAAAAGCACCCACTTGACAGGCCATTATACTTTCTTTTAGTATGTGGCAGAGTCATATGGTTGCCTGCCAGGACACATTTTACAATTTATGCATATAACGCACAACTAAATTATGAGAAATGTACCGTCTTTGAAAATAACAGAAAAAATACCAAATTCCTTTAGATCTTGAGTGTCTACATGATAGGTAAGATGGGGAGAAATAGTTATCCTTACAAGTATATCTTGACCAATCCAGGCAAAGGATTGGTCACGATAAACTGCCCAAAGAACAGCAAATGTTATACAGAATGGAGAAACAGCCAAAGTCAGGTATGAGATAGATCCTAAAATGGGTACTTTGACGTATGCCTCTCCAGCATGCTTGAACCACCTGTGCAGGAAAACAAGTAAGTTTCTTCTGAGTTAACATCGCAGAGGAAGTGAGCAACAAATTGATAACTTCAATTAAAAAGGACATAAAGGATGAAAGGGTGGAAAATCAAACATCATAACAGAAACCCTTAAACTTTGAAATTTGGAAAGTACTCTCTCATTCGGGAGGAAAGAAGAGAGTAATTTACCTTATGACATGATTTTCAAGAAAACAAGATATTAAGCCATCCTGATCCTATATCATTTGAAGCATATATAGTATACTATTTGTAAACAAAATGCAACAAGATTATCAACATCTCATGTTATTCAAATATACAAGTAAGTTTAAAACAAAATGTTATAGCACATTTTCACAAAGTTAATGAAAGATCAAAATAAGTTCAATGAAGTCTTAAATACTAAGAATGCAGATTACACCTTGGCTGTTTTTACTGACTACCACTGACTATACAGCTCTTTTATCCAATCCAACCAGCCACAACATTCGCTTATCTACGTTTTTATTGCACTTTATGTGCATGAAAAATTAATATCTGAAGGTTACAGTTACCATTTTTCTATATTGATAACAACTTTTGCACAAAATATCAAGCTCGTATAATAGTTTACATGAATTTCCAGTCTTAGATTTGAAAATATTTAATCAACTATGCATTTAAATGAAAAGGCAAGATAACTGCTTAAGGTATGAAGCATGAAATTAAAAAGGCAAGCCATAAAAAATCCAACAGGGGAATAAAACATATGTCAACTCTCCCCAGCTCCAATTTGAGCTTCTCAAATAATCAAAGAGGAATAGTTGCAAAAAATAAGATATTACAATCTGAACAGATGGATACTAAGACCAAAGATTCTTAAAAAAATTCATCGAAGATAATATACCACACCTGGACAAAAGAGCAACCAAGCAAGTTTGCAAGCCCTACAGATACAAGAAAACATATGGTTAGCCACTTGGCAGAGAATAACATGGCAATAGTTGGAAAGACACAGAATTTGTATTCAGTAATGGCAAGAGTGAGCTTTTATAACATGCATTCATGTTATGTCATACATGTTAGTCTGGTTCTTTTCCCTGCATAGATTGTTTTTTTCCTCACAGATGCAAAAAAATATAAATTTTAGACTGATTTAGTGGACGTTAATACCTCAATGCCACCAATACAGAAGAGAACAACCAAAACCTCTATGAACCACGACGACATCAGTTTGTAAAGCAAAAACAGGAAACACGAAGCAAATATAACAAAAAGGACTGCAGCCTTCACGTTCATATTTACAACTCCACTAACACTAGCATAGTTAGTGTTTGGGATTTCATCTGAAGCATCCTAAAAGAAAGAAAAATTGAGAGTAAGTAGTAGGATCAACAACATATTGAAACAAGAATGAAAATCGAACTTGAGGGAACACAAAAAGAATAGGAAAAACAGACAGACCTTTAAGAGCTTATCCTGTTCAATAGCTGCTTCTCGGGCTGTCCAAGCTGACCAATATGATGCACATAATATGGTAAGAACTGCCATCATCCAAAGAAATACTTCCGCTATGTCAACAGAAGGTCTACGTGGTGAGTATAGCTGCACTGACACTGCAAAATTGCAAAAAAAAAAAAAAAAAACATTTAGAAAGCTCCCCCTCCCCTATACGAAAAACAAAACAGTAGTTGAATACAGAATCTTTTCATAAGCATTAAAGATGGTGACCATCACATAGCTAACTGCATTAAACAGAAACTATTACCAGTCCCGCATAGCATGCACACGAAAAACATCCAGAGATATTTATGAAAATCGAAAGGAAGCTCACCAGATAAAGTATTCGTCAGCATTTTTTCCAGCCTTGCACCTGCATCTAGTGGAAGCATGACTGCAGGTATGTGTATGTTCAAATCAGTTTCATCAGGATCGCAAACCATCTTGTAAAGTTCTGCAAACAACAAAAAACAAATTTGACATGAAAAGAGAAATAGGTGTACGAACTAGGCATAACAGGCAAGCAACTACTCAAACTACCAAAATAACAGCCACACACATACACACAGACCAAAAAGGAAAAAAAAAAAAAATAATACTATCAATTTACCTTTTTGATTATTTATAATGAGGATGGCTGAAGCATTAGCATCCTGTGCAGTATTTGCCTTTTTTGTGAATGTGCAGTTGCCGCGATCCACCATGATAACATCTCCCACAATCTGACAGTTTACACAACTACTAACATTCAGTACTTTGTTACACTAGTGACCAAAGTTCACTACACACGGCACAGAAACAACCTTATTCTTTGGCGGACTGCAACAATCACGAGGATCTGAAAGAATAAGGCGGGTATACTTTGCATTTTTCTCTTTCGACACAATGGCTCTGCCAAATCTGGCACCCACACCAACAAATTCAGCATCCTCTACACCGTTGACCCAGGTTTGCACTTTTACCTGACAATTATAACAAGTTAATCACAACTTGAATTGAACTCGAGGCTAATTAATTGCTCAAGAACTAATTCTGGGCAGTATGATTTTGATGCTCCATGCATACGAGGAAAAGGCGATAAACCCATAAATGAAAAGAGAAAAAAAATTGAACTTTGTAAATTGGGTATACCAGAACGAACTGGTTCGCGCAACCGGGCTTTTTGGGAGTTGAATCATCATCGTGAACTATGTCCCCAGCTAATACAGAAGGGGCGTCACGGAGAAGCAGTATTACTGCAGAAAATAGGAGCATCGAGCAAATATTCTCCGAAGCCATGGATGCAGTCACACCTCAACAAGATTTAGAAACCATTACCAACTCATAGTTGAAACCAAGAGAGACAGACGCCGCTGCGTCCAGGAACATTCAACTTTCTATTTTGATCCGTTCATTAGAAATAAATAAAAAATTAATAATAAAAAAACTCATATTATTGTTCTTGTTGAAAATGGTATTTACTGTGCCACATCTTATCATCCTAATACAGAAATATTCTCTCTACTTATATTTTTATGTTTATAATAAGCTTTTTAATGAAATAACTGTAGAATTTCTTTGTTTTCAAAAGACTCTCGTCTGTTTATATTTTTAATGAAATGATATTTACTTTTTTATTTTAAAAAAACATATGAATTAAAAGTTAATTATAAAATATGTTATCATTCGATTAAAAAATTGTCTTATAAAATCATAAAAAATTATATTTTTGAGAAATGGTTGCTATTGTTGAATACTATTTATACAAAAACGAGATAAGGTTTAGTAAATTTGATTTGGATATTTTAATTTCAATTTGATGCATAATATTGAGATTTATCTTTCATTAATTTCAAATTATTATTTATTGAAATATGTGGTAAAATAATAAACAGGAGCAACAGTGCAATTGCAAGTGAGTTGAATTTGAAACCGGAGAGGAGAAGAAGTCACATGATTTTCTTTGCACGTAAATAAAATTGTGACTATTAATAGGCGAACTGTAGGTACACAAGCTAAAATTTAGAATTTCAAACATGTGAATTTACATTGTTGGATATACTTTTAAGGTTCAATGTAACTTTTGGTTTAATAAGTATCACAATGGTAACTTTTAAATATAGTTATTATTTTATTTTGGTTTCTCAATTTGCCTTTATCAACAGGATGTTTAGTGGAAATTTAACAGTAGATATATGGTTTGATATATGTGACTTAATTTAGTTGCTCCTTTATTTTTCAGGTCAAGTGTTAATTGCAACATCATTAACACATCACCTTTCAATTTCACTTCAACAAAATATATTAAGTATTTTATCATAAATCCAGATAGATTATATAATTGCCATGTCCTATATCTTAATTTGTATAATATGTGGACCAAAAGTCAACTTATGCTTAAGTATTTATTTGAAAAAGATTCTCAGAATTTTCATGAGAAGAAAACAAGAAAAATAAATAAATAAATTTCTTGATATATTAAAATTAGTTGTATGCGAGTTAAAAATAATATTTTAAACAAATTAAAATAAAATAATGTTTACAAATTCACTTGTACATAAAATTAATTAAGTTATAAGAAACAGAGATTATTTTTTCCAAAAATTTATGATCTATTATGTATTCTCATGATCCAGGTTCATCTGGTTTTTTTTATTCTAGACGACTGACAAGTTTTATACAAAAATTGATGGATTGATTTCCAGTATCATCTGATTTTTGAATGGTTACATACAGAAAGGACTAGAATCCAGACTAAAACCATTTCCTATAACCTCTTATATTCCTTCCTTTTAATTATCCCATTACAGTACAGTACGATCAATTCTGTTCTATTTGGTGTTACAAACTATGGTTTTTTAACATTAACAGCAAACACTACACATTTTCTTCATGATAGGAGGGCACTGTGCAGGACAATATATAATCTTTTGAGATCATCAGCAATAACCCAGACCCAGTTCAAATAAGTAGAAGCAGAGAACGTAGCAACTCCTACTTATATATTAATGTAAATCCCGTCCTCTGCATGGTCTTGTCCGGATTTGCTACCAACTTCAAGGTAAAACCAGCAATACCAATGCCTTAAATAATGGACTCAAAGCTGGCAGAAATTATCATTTGGATCAGTGTACCTACACTTTTATACACGGGACATAGGAGAAAAAGGTGGGTTTAGCACATAGGGTGGAGGAATTCCCTTCGGAATCTTGGATACATTCTTTTTCTCTTCTTTCGTCACTGAGTTGATGAATAACTCTACCTCCTCCTCGAGAAGCATTTTCAATGAATTGCATCGAGAAATCTGTTGGTTTTTCCCCTGTCCTGCACCACTGAAGGTGGTGGAGGTGCCATGCAAAATGGCAACACAAATGGAGAAAGCTTGTAACGGGGATAACTGTGCATGGAAATCAACTGCATATTGCCCCTCTTCAACCATCGTCATGCCAAAGGTAGGAGTTCGCTCTTTGACTCCCTATGCACCAGAAGGAGAAATAAGTAAACAATCAAAATCTCTTAAAGGAAGTGTGTTAAAATTGCAGCACTAAATCAGAGAAAAGCTCTAATTGGAAACACAGCGGTATTTGATATCATATGCAGGTGCATGTCTTGGGAATTAGTTCACTTAGCAACGTAGTCAGTAACGTTTTTTTGTTATCCTATTTTGGGTTTTTATATCTTCATTTGGAAAGAGAAAATTCGAAAAATAAACTCTGGAGATTCAAGTCACCGGAAAAAGTACAAGAAAAGAAAACTAAAGTCGTGATTATTTTCCTAAATACATCAATTTTAAGTCTTTTCACAAAATAGTTAATGTCAAATTGGAGCTTTACCTGAGTAAAAAGTTCCAGAGTTTGATATTCCTTCCTAAGAGGATGGCCTTCAGCAAATTGAACACCAGGATTGCCTAAAAGAATAAGGGGACAGGCCATGTCCCAACCACCACAATCACAACCTCCACCATGTTTCCATCGCTCAAGTAATGATGAGGGACCCTGGCTTTCAGCACTAGGCAAGCCATGGTTGCCAGTTGGTAGTACCACCTTCACCTGTTCCAGGACTTTTCCACCCTGAAGACTTTTTCTAGTCTGCTTTACAGCTGAAGAGAGGTCACTTAGTTTGGAATATGCTTCAGCCTTTACTCTATCCTTCCTTTCGTATTTCAAGCTTTCTCTCCTGAGAAACGGAATTTGCAAAACAATGGCAGCCATTTCAGGGTTTGAATACAATTCTGCGGATGACAAAGGATAAGAATTTGCATTGTCAAAACCTGCATTGCCTGATACAGGCTTGCTTTTAGTTGCCAAAGTCTCTTCGTGTGGTCTCAAAGTTTCTCCGTTCATTCCTACTCGGGAATCTATGAGCGTGTCAGAACAATGTTGATCGTTGTCAGACCTTCTTTTAGGTGAAACACTTTTTCTTGAGTGTGCAAGATCATACAACACAAATTCTGTCACCATAGAGTTGTCGAACACTCCAACTTCTAATTTCGAACATGAACCAGAGGAAACTAGCATCTGTGCTACCATTGATGAATCTTTGTCAGAATAATGGGATCGCAAGTCAGAGGCAGTACTTTTCTTTCTATTATCCATTGAGTGAAAGGTGTACAACCAATTGAAAGCATTGCCTGATTTCCAGGTCTTTGCCACAAAGACATCTTCAGGGCACTTTACTATGAACTCAAAAACTGGAAGTCCTTCTTTGTTTTTCAACTTGAGATTGCCATGAAGATGAACAGGTGAACATGATAGACCTGAAAACATGATATCTCTATTGATAAACTCAGAAATAATGTCAGAATGCTTTGCTGTGTTAGAGAAGTCATTTAGCAAAGATCTCTGATAAGTCCTGTTTCTTGTACCAATTCTTGTCTCAGTTAATTTGACCTCGGTAGTTTCCAGCACACAACTCACCGGACTCGTCAAAGCTTTTGACTTTGTGAATGGATTTAACCTTTTCCTAATAGAGGTGAGTGAGACTTTTGGACTTGCTCTTGGTGAGCAGTCACTCTCTGATGGAGATTGCATGTGAGAGATTTCAACCATAGAAGAGAGTGACAATCCATGAACTGAATCTTTTTTAGGATGATAATTACCATCAATTAGTAAACCCAAAACCTTATCACTTATGATTTCTGTATTTATAGAACCAATACCTTCTACCGCACCATATTTTTCATCCCAAACATCTGAATGTAAACAAAATTCAATATAGTCATTTGAAGTGTTGTTCTCCATTCTATCCCAGGAACCAGAAACAGATGGAGATGGTGAACCTAAATTTGAGTCCTGACATATTACTGAAGGTCTCTCGTCTAGACGTTCATCATCTGAACCACACAGAGAATCAACTACACTACCCGAAAAAGAGGCATCACTGCTCCTGGATGAAATTTCAATTTTTCTCCTTCCCCTCACGGTGCCCATTTTCATACTTATGACTTGCTCTGAAGTCTCATGATTGGAACCGTTTGTCATGTCTAAATTACCTTCCAGACCATGAGATCTACAGGGATGGCTCTTATGTGAAGAATTGCGTGATGTACCAAAATTGATATCAGCAAAATTCTCTTTTAGTTTCAAAAAATCATCTTTCCCAGTGGGTTTCCCATTTTTATATCTTTTCTTCACATTCAAACGATATTGCTGAGATGGAAGAACAGTATCGGGACTGAGACCCACGGAAGACCTGTCATTCAGATCCAACTCCAATTCTTGCCCCATCCACAGACTACAACCCTGCAATACTATCAAAAAGAAAAGGAAAAAAAAAAAGTTACTTTTCGAGAGCGATCAAATTACACTTGACACAATGTTGAATTTGGTGCATAATTGAAAGAACTTTAAATCTTCCTCTACAACTAATCTACGTATATTTAGCTCAGCTTTCCCCAGTCAAACACAGAAATATAATTTTACAGTGATTTCAAGGTCACACTCTATTCAATAATGGCTCGACCCCAAAATTTTAACATATACAGCTGAAAATCACAATGGAAGCAGAATGTGATAATATTTCACAAAGCAAAACTGCTAATTACAGGTAGGAAACACCCCACAGACAACAGATATCTACAATTTTCTAAAAAATAGAAAAATTCAACGCCAATTACAAACTTGCAATTGCAAACAACTATCATTGCAAAGGAAGCAAGCGTCCCACCGGTGTTCTCAAAAGTTTGAAATTGGCTTGCAGAAAATCTTGAAAATAACATTATTTATTCCCCAAAAAATTGCAACAAAGGTAAAAACATATGTAACATCCAGAATTTATGTAAAGTGATTAGAAGGATGGCAATTGCTGCGCAAATGTTAAATTTAATATTTGAAAAATTAAACAAAGCTCACTTTAATAAAAAAACCATAACAGTAGAAAATTACAAAAAACGAAAAGCAGAAAAGGAAAGGGCCATACAGAAGTAGATGTTGGAGAAGTGAAGAAAAGAAAACCCCAAGGAAGAGTATCAACAGAAAATCATTGTCTCCAAACTTGATCAAAAAGTCTCCAAGAGTATAACCGAAGGAAAGAGCAATCCTTCTTGGCACCTTCGAAAATCAGAATTCCAAAACAAAAAGGGACAGAGTGTGAAGAATAAGAAGAAGAAGGAGTGAAGCATGATAAACGGTGTCCAAAAGTGAAGGTAGAACGGTAACTAGAGAACAGAGAGGAACAATGAACTCTCTCTCACACGAAAAGGAGGGGAAAGAAGAGACAGCGAGCAGATGATCTTCTGTACATGTCTCTACTAAAAATAAAGCTATGTCCTCAAACACCATCATTATGCTGTGTCTTCTCTTTTTCTCTTCTTTATTGATATCATCTAAATGGTTCCTTTTTCACCTTTTTTTTTACTTAATTTAATTTTATATGTTACAAAAATGTTGAATGTATTATTTAAATTATTAAAATATAAGCAATGTGATTTTTTGTTCAACTACATTAAAAAGAGACAAAAAAAATATTAATATATTTTGTAACAAGGGAATTATTTCAATAGATGAACAAGCTAACAATTCAATTAGATGAAAGAATTATTTAAGTTTATTATTATTTTCCTTTATGTGTCCACTCGGTGTGGGACCAGTGAAGCACGGTAAAGTGAGTCACAAGAGAGCGCGCACCCATGGTGAAAAGACAAAGAACCCCATAAAGGATTGATAGACGAAAACCGAACTTTGATGAAATTAATAATTAATCACTGTGCATATAATGATGATATAATAAGAGGAATAGGTGTGAAATGACCTAGAGGTAGAAAGACAAAAGAAAAGGAGAAAATGGGAAGAATGAAAATATGGTTGCATTGCATGTGCTTGGATTGGCACTGGTGGCAAACCAAATTCGATGACTGGGATCTTTGGATTAACTACATCATCATTTGCAATATAATATTGTTAGATTAACTAACATAGGCTTAGGGCTTAGGATGGTGAGAACCACAAGCCAAAGGAGATGTCTGAGACATTAACAGAATGAGCAACAGTGGTTGTCGGAGGTTAGGCTGAAAGACGGAATCAGATGGTTAACCAAGAGATGGTGGCTGAAGGAATAACAATAACAAGACAACAAATACATGATCACAATGTAGGAAAGGACTTGTGGATAAGTTATTTTCTCATAGACCAAATTTAAAAATAATGAACTTCCAAAATTATGTTGAATATGTTCCTTGTAATGTAACACATGCATCTGAACAAACAGAATGACACGTTAAAGAAAAGGTTCATGCATGAAAGACGTATGAAGGAGAAGTTGGTCACCCTCGGTTTTTAGTCAAGTTCAATATAACATTCCCTTGACTTCACTTATTCCACTGGTGCTCCGAATTATGCAGAACATCTTAAGCATGCAATGGATTCTAACTATAATTAGCGACAATGTTTGTCATGTCAGGCTCTCTTGCTCCAACTTTAGCATTTGGTTGATGAAAAATTGAATATCGTCACGGTGAGTTGTCCCCGTCGCACTAATGGTGACCATGATGTTCGAACCTAATTCATGTGCTGTCACCGTTTGTTCACGGGTAAATAAGTTAAACTTTCTTTGAATGAACTATTTGGGCAAAAACATTGACTTCGCACTATGTAAGAAACTTAATTGCCAAGAATTTTTTAGGTTCATATTGATTTAGTAAAAGTCATTGCCATCAGCGGAGTAACTTTTTTTTTTGGTTGGGGTGGTCATTAATAAAGGTCAGTGGAGCTGTAACTTCAAAAATAATTCTTGCAGGGCAAAAATAGAAATGAAAGAGCAAGTGCATCCCAAATTTCTCACAACTGACAACTAAAATCCTGTCCAAAGATGAGGCTTTCTTACCCAAAATAAGTGGATTAAAATAAATTCATCACAGACATATAATTCCACCGACAATCTTTATTTGGCTCAAAATAAAAGTAATCAGCTAAAGACTAACTAACCATCAGAAAGAAGAAGGCTCTTGCTAGCATATAATAAAGGGTATATATATAAAATTTTAAAAAGCAAAAAAAAAGTCAGATTATTTAAACTAAGAGAAAATAAAATTATAATTGATTTAATCTATGAATAAAAATAAATTAATTATATTAAATTACCATAAATAAATTAATATTCCGTTACTATCTTAATTAATATAAAATATTTTTTATTCATGAATATTTATTTTATGTTAATACTAATATTATTTTATCATTTATTTATTTATTATTATTATTATTATTATATGTTATATTATTTTATTAGTTTTATATCTATATTATAATAATACTGCAGAAAAAAAGCTAAGACTCGTTAATTTCTTCTTTTATATCTATATTATAATATTACACAGTACCACTCTGTAATATTTCTTCTCCTTTCTTTCTTCTTTATCTTGCATATAAATAATTTTAATAAGACTTGTTAACTTCTTTTTTATTTCTTTGCATTTTCATTGAAACAAATATACATGTTTCTTCGCTTTTCCATCCTCGCACCTCGTCTTCTATAAAAACAAACAGTAAAAGTAGTTGATAAAAAATTTAAAGAAAATGAAAATATTATGAAAACATAATACAAATATAGAAGATATATGCATCTCCATATATATATATATATATATATATATATATATATATATATATATATATATATATATATATATATATATATATATATTAGAATTTAGAAAACTTGCTGACAAAACACGTATAACATAACTATGTTTCCAAAAGTAGAGGCTAAACTATTCGAATAATTTTGGGGGATGGAGAATATGGTGTAGTGGAGTAAGCCACGGTTGCAATTATACGGTGTTTCCCATCGGAGAAAAAAATAACTTTTAGTTCAAGTTTTGTTTGATTGAAAATTACGTATATTATGTGTGTGTGTGTTGAAATTGAAGCATTTTGAGGAAATTCTTGGAGTAGATATTTACATTAATTAAATAAAGAAACTTATTCCATTTGTCCTTAAATGTATCTACTAATTATACAATTTATACTACGTTATGAAAATCACATTTATATAAATCAAACAAAAAATTGCATGATAATAATAACATGATGAAAGAAAAGAGTTTTAATTCTAGTGATAGGAAAACTTTATTATATTTAAACATCATATTTCAACTTTTAAAAGCATAATTGATCCTTTAAAAACAGTTTTTAACATGACAATAATAGACTGTTAGGGTAAAATAATTTGTATGTACTGATTATATATGTTAAAGAATTACCATATCATAGGCTGATAGGAATACTATTTGAAAGCTATGTATTGTAGTATTGGTAAGGTCCTCACAAGTGGTTTATAGTATTCACCATTAGATTCATCTATTGTACACACACAATTGTATCCTTTACAAGTTGTCCTCACGATCATAGGTTCTATACAGCGATACCGCTGGTGTGCAAGGAAGGTACTAAACACATTATCTGCTGCCATGTGGCTAAAGTAGGGGTGTCTAAATCTGATTAAATTTATTTTCATCGATAATAAATACAAGAATGTAACTAAAATTTATTCAAACCACAGGTATGAGTTTTATGATTTTAAAAAGATAACACCTATATAATCGAATTCAAATTAAGAGATTCACTTTGATGACTAAAATTACCCTTAGTTCAGGTGATGTATTACCAAATACAACCGCTCTTTGCATGTTATGCGCAAACAAATAGAATAACTAAATATATTCATAAACAATCTTTTGCTATGACTAAACACTGTACAAGATAGATACATGTTTACGGTCGTCATCTTTCCTCGACTCACTTGCCAAACAATTTCTGGAGATATTAACTTGTTTCGTAAAAGATGTCATTGGCTGACTTTGAAATTACCACGGAGCCACCAGCTTCATCTGAGCATCTTTAAATTTTGCAATGGCCTATGGCGTAGTGCCTATATTTCTTTTTGAATCAGATGCATCTATGGTAGGCATAGACACCTCATCTCGAGAGGCATACCAGGAATGACCGCAGGAAACGCATTCCAACTGTAAAGGCAAAGCGACAAGCAATCAAACCAGGTCTGAAAAATGCATGACATAGTTTTCGAAATATGGACTACAGTTAATAAGATGCAAACCTGATATCGTTCATTATTTCCAGCATGGATAATCTCTCTCAAGCCCACCTTACATTCCATACATTTTGAGCAGCGGCCATCTGTCATCTGTTTCGGGGAAGAAAAGCTGTTAACATATATCTTCACACCAAGTAGTTAATGATAATAAAATTGTAGATGGAAATTTTACTTGCAAGTGCTGGGTCTCGTCAGGCTTCTCCTTGGTTCTTTTGTCAGCAACCAAACCCTCCTGAAGTTCATATATTTAGTATATACCCATAAAAAATTATGCATCACGAGCTGCTCAATCTTTTTCAAAAGCAACTTCGAAAAATTGACGACGAAGGTTCCCAAAACTTCATTTCATAGTTGCTCTATGATGTGTAGATTTTTTTGTTGTTTCCATAGAAGACGGAGGGCAAATAGTTTTGAAAAACATCAAAAATTATTTCAGAGAACCCTTGAAAACATCAGCCCTTTTTAGAAGTAAAATTTTAAAAATCCTATATAATATACATTTACCTCCCCTTTGTCATTGCCTTAATAAGACTTGATTCCTACAAAGCAATTCCAAACAAAACAAACACTAAAATGAGGGATAAAGTTCCTATTTGAGTAGTCTCAAGCTGAATGTTCACCTACAATCGATTATAATACATGTTTGAAACTCACCTTAACAGCAATCACCCCTAGCGCACCTTAATGCAGTCTATCAATATAGGTTGTCAATTTCTCAAACATACACCTACAAAGGGCTTGACTAGAAAGGCTGATTGAAGCATTGTACCTCAAATTGTAAAGGGTTGAGATACTTCATCAAGTAGATATAACGCCCAAAGTAGTGTTCATCAAGTAGTTGTACCAAGCCAAAACTATGTTCTTTTCTTTTAATATTTGCAAAATATACAAAAAACTAATTTAGCATGTTGAGCCTAGGGCAGGTTTAGACAAGTTGAGTCAAACAGAGCACTAAAAATACATAGGGTTGACTTGTGAAAATAAAAAAGAAAAAAGAGTTGTTCAAGCTTAACCTATTTATTCAAACAAACCTAACTAAAAAATTGACATTGACATATTCAGGAAAAATAAAATACAGCTGCAACTTGACTTGTTTAATGTATCTACCACGTGATTATTTTTTCTTTTGTGAAAGTTTTTTCCTTAAAATTATTTAAAAATTTCAATCTATTATTTAATGAATATTTTAAAATAATCTTCTACCACAGTTAGGTAAGCGTAAACCATTTGTACTTTTTTTTCTCCTAATTAGCTCCTTCTTTTCTTCTTTCAATGTTTTTTTTTTCTTTCTACTGATTAACTCTTGTTAACACAAAACATGAAAAAAGGAATAATTTTTAGCTAAATTACAACTTCGATCACTATTTCTGAGATAAAGAAAATCTGCTAATTGAATACGCCCTTAAAAGTAGTTGAACAAAGGCAAAACTTCAACCTGCGATAATTTAACGCGAAAAGGAAGAAAAAGGGAAATATGTGACGCTGGTTTGAGATCCGGTATCCGAAGAAGGGAAGACGGATTTGATAAATAAAAAAATATTTGTTAAGAAAAAAGAGAAACATGAGTTTCAGAGAGAAAAGTAACAATAGCAGTAGCAGCAGATTGTGAAAGGAAAAAGCAGATGGTTGAGATTGAAGGGGGAAGAAATTTGGCTGCGGTGGACCCCGAAAGGAAGCGTTGGAGAAATGGGTGAATGAGACAGTGACACACGTGAGCATGTACTTGTTTCTATTTTCTTTTGTGGCAGGTTGGATGCAAAGGTAAAGCAGCATTAGTAAGAACGTACCGTGAAAGTGGAAGGAAGGGTAGCATAGAGAATCGAAGAGTGAAGGGGACAGTTGAGTAAGTTCGTAACACTTCAATAACCCAACAATACCCATCATGTGATGTTACCATTTTAATATTACTTAATGAACAAAGAAAGACCCGTAGTAAAGTCACTTGACATGATATGACATTAACACCAATCGAACCAAACCAAACCAACTAAGTCAGTCATTGCCGTGTTCCCCCCCCACCCCAAATTACACGACTAATATGCAAACTATTGATATCAAAGATGGGTTCTATTTTCTGTTCATCTCCTAACTCCTAACTAGTCCAAGTTCTCTCAACTTTTCATGTCTCTTCCTTCTTTGTGTATGTAAATTTAGAAGCATCTAATCCCCTGCTCGCTGCTACTCTGCTTTTGTATCCATCTCTATTTCACCTCTTTAATAAGCTCATTATTATCTTCTACCAGTTAGGTAAGCGTAAACCATTTTTTTTCTCCTAATTAGCTCCTTCTTTTCTTTTGTGAAAGTTTTCCTTAAAATTATTTAAAAATTTTAATATATTATTTAATGAATATTTTAAAATTAGATAGTAATGTATAAAAAATATAAGTACATGCTAATATAGAGGTATTATATAGTGGAATCTATGTAATCTTAATTTTTTCTAATTTTTAATGTATAAACTAGTTACTCAAACTATTTTTCGGATTATAAAGTTTGGAATAATTAGCCTAATCTCAAGCTTGACTTAGTTAACTTAATTAAAAAATGGACTTAATTGTGCATTTAACTAACTCAAATAATTTATACACCTAATTGAGCCTAAAGTATTTTACTAGTGAGAAAAATGAAAGATGCTCCATGGCTGAAATAAAATAAAAAATAAAAAAATAGTAGTTGGAAATCTAGGAAACAAGTTCATCATTTCACCACAAGCAAACAACTTGATAGTTCAATTATTTTTTTGTAAATGATGAGGACAGATATCATACCTTTAATTCATTGGGTGTCATATTTAATATTTTTGAAGGTTCCAACTCTCCATTTAATAGACCGCGTGCTAACACTGCATTCTTCTGCAAAGAACAAAAAAAGAACAATATAATTAATTTACTATTATTGCAAGAAAGAAACATATACATGGATATTGAAAAGTCACTTTAATTGTGGCCATCTGTAACCAACCTTATGCAGCCTATCAGAGCAGATTGTCAATGCCTCAAAAAAGGCTACCTACGAAGGACTGACCAAAAAGACTGTGTGAAGCATCATAGCATGCAGCCAACATGAGATTGACTCTGAGGGGCTTAAGATAATATGGTATGTCATCATACAACTTGGGCAATCCTCAACATACAAACCAATTTGTGGGATTAAATTAGATCTTAAACTTAAATGCCAGGACAATGTTAGAGCTTAGATCATTGTCATGCTCCAAGCCCATAACTAGGGAGTGAGTAGGGTGTTGGAAAGTCATTATAAATACAATCACCTCTAGCTCACCATAATTGCAGACTATCAGAGTTAGTTGTCAATGTCTCAAAAAGGTTACTTATGATGACGGGATTGATCCAAAAGATTGAGTAAGGCGTTGCAAAATGCAGCCATCAGGACATCAACTTGTGGGGGTTGAAATTCAACATAGATTGGAGATAAGACCTAGTGCTAATAGAGTTTTGGCGATCCTTACCATACAAGTCAATTTTTCAAAATTGAGTTACACCTCGACCCAAAATTTAAAATAGTATCAAAATCTATCCTAAATTCATTGTTAAACCACCTAGATTACCATGATCTTGGCCCTTAGCTTTGGGCATGAGTGAGTGTGTAGGAGAGTCTCCTTAATTGTGACTACCACGAGCTGGCTTAATAGAGGTTATCAGAGTTTGTTGTGGATGTCTAGAAAAATACTACCTATGAAGAAGCTAACCAAAAAGGTTGAGTGAAACATCATCCTGTGTAACCATCGAGACATTAAGTCTTAGGAGGTTGAGATTGCACATTCAACCAGAGATAAAGCCTAAGTAGTTCTTCTGAAGCTTGGAAAACTCTCACCATGCTGGTCAATTTAGTGGAATTGAGTTAAGTTCAAATTCTAGGAATAGATGTTCACATGGATTTCTGAAGCCAAAAATCTCAAAATCACTGGTTAAGAAGATGGTTAAGATACATGTTAGTGACAAAATATGCAGTTACGGTTACAGCTAAGGACATCTTTAATGCTAAAAATCCATTTTGGGTCCTAAATGAACCTTTTTTGTGGGCACTTTATTGGCAACTCAGACTTAAGAACTTAAATTTTCACCCTAACGATAAAACTTCAATTTGGATTTTTATGTCTATCTTTTCCCTTTTCCATTTTTTAACTCTCACAAGATGACACAACACTCAACCTATCACTTTCCCCCTTTTATTCCCTTCTGTCTCACCCTTTTGTCGTTACATCATCACTCATGCTCATTTCTCCCCCTTGGTCATCTGCACCAGCTAATCTATATGCTCCTATCTCCCCCTTCTCCGTGGATGGGTCTGGATGGGGGACACTAAAAGGATGGGGGACACTAAAAGGATGAGGACTCTCAAAGATGCAGACTTGACAGCAACCATAGCTACAACCATCATGGATGCAGTGGTCTCAATGTTTGTTATTTCCCCTCCTTTATCAACTCTATCTAGGATCTAAAACTTATTTTATATTCATAATAATAGATTTTATGGGTTCTTCTGTAATAACTAATTCTCCACCGTTGAAGTCGATTCATTCTGCTCAAATGGAAGCATTGGGCAAAAATAGGTTCTTAGATTTAAAAACTGACAGTAAGAACTCATGATAAAGATGATGTAGCTAGCTTCCCTTTCTTTTCCATCATCAGAAGAGATAACGTCACATGGATATACATAGTCTGTTTCGTACATATATAAATTACTTAGTGTGCAATAGCATTATCACCCAACCTTCCAACTTATCATTTCTTAATTTGAATAGAAAGAAAATAAATATGTTTCAGACTTGTAACCTCTTCGACGCTGATTTTAATAGATAACATGCACAAAGATCAATACAAGTTTAAAACACCTTAGTATCCAGCAAATTTTTTTTTAAATGCCTCAAATGCAATAGTTAAAAATATCTCAAGCATATAAGTTTTATATGAAAAAGTCATCTTCTGACCTGGAGATTAAATGCCAATTGCCGCAATTTTTGGTTATACTTCATAGAATCTGATGAGAGAGCATCATGTGAAGCTTTTTCGAGAGAAACTATGGCTGAAACAGCAGCATCTGGCCAGATAAAAGACTTGGAACTCTGTAAATTTTCGGGGTGGGGGAGCAATGACAGAGAGAAACCAAATTCATATTATTCGCTAGGGAAAAGGTATATACAGAGAATAAAATAGAAAACGACTAGTTGCTAATGTACTAATAATACAGATTAATCACATCATCTGAACCTTATCTTGACAGTCATTTACTGATTCTGAACTTCTCTGCTTGGTTCTGCAGTTGATTTCATCAGAATTGACATTTCCTAATACTTTCACCATTTCTTTGCTATCATTAGAATCACACATGTACTGAATGCGTTGAAGCAACCTCTCCAACCATTTGTCACGATGGCTATCTCCAGTTAGTGCGTTGAATTCTACCAATATGCGATAATACTCTGAGGCATTAGTTACAGAACTCACTGGTGTTTCTGACTTTGGATTTAGTTCACTCCTGAGTGTTTCTTCCTCTTCCTTTGAAACATTGGGAGGGGAAACACTCTTTCTCCTCAAGCTTTTTCCTTGTTTCATCTGGTCCTCGTCATCATCAGGGGCTTCCTCCTTAGGCTCAATGTCAAGAAGTTCACCAATACGTTCCAGAGTCTTTTGAACAAGCACATCAATTTCTTGCTGCTTAATATCCTCGTAGTCCTTATCACTCAGCCTCCAGAGTTTTCTTTCCACAGTGTCATACACCTTCTGTACAATAAACCCAGGGTGATCCTTCCGTTTCGGAAGCTGTTTGTGTCTGGGAACAAAATGCACCACACACTTATGCATTACAGCCTCCGCAGGAACATCATCACGATGAAAACTATAAAACAGCTCCCTTGTATCACACGATTGCCAGTTTCCACCACCTTTTTTCTCAGCTTCTTCTGGGCGATAAAACCACTGCCCTGTCACTTTGACGTTGCCACTGTTAGACTGCGTAATGTCCTGACAGCAGAAAAAAAGAGACTAAAATCCAAATCCATTGAAAGGGAATAATGGGTGCAGAAAACCCTCCATAACATCAATGCAACACAAACAAGTATTGAGAAAGGGGAATAACAAATATTTATCATGCATGAATCAATTGAGTTGACTAACCCTTATTTATCTAAAATTACAATCAATAGCAATTGAAAAAGAAAATACATAATTGTACCTTAATAATTGCGACATATGGCTTTTGGCCTTTCTCCTCGGGTACAAGAAGAACAGGGTCCTCCTGCACAAACCGAAATAAATAAAAAACAAAATTGGAACGATGTAGTGGTCATAAAATTCACATATTTGAAGAATTGCTGAGAAGAAGGAGCTTACGAGAGTATATTGGATGCCATCGAACTCGAAGGAGACATAGTGTCTTTTCCTGCCTCTTCCTTTTCCTGATATCCTAACGGGTTCGCCAATAGGCTTAGCGTCCTCCGCAGGCTGAGGCGGTTCCGGTACCTCTTCTTTTTCTTCTTCTTCGTTCTCGTAGTCGTTGTCTTCCTCTAGAAGCCTCATCCTCTTCCGCGTGCGTTGGGGGAGCGGTACTTCGTCTTCGTCATCGCTCGTCGCCACCCGACTCAAGCGTCGACGATTCACCATTCTCCAATTTTCAGTTCCGATCCTGACCTCTTCAATGGCAATTCAAAACTCACCTGCCCAAATTGAATATACTGTTCAAGGTGAGTCAATGCTATAAACACCCTTGTCACTCTTCTCACCCAACCCATGCCTAAAATATATACATCATTTTTTTTTTGTCAAATCTAATTTTGATCAATTTTAATTTTTAGACTTAATTATATTTTTATCCTATTTATTAGCTTTATTTACTCTCTTTTCTGTTCAGTGTTGAAATTATCCATTTTGTTGGTTCAAGTTATACTCAAAAACATTTTCTCTACTCTGTTTAATTAACTAACATAATAATATATATTTCATGAGACTTTTTAGTTTAACTTATCATAATATAACTAGTATACAAAGAAGAAAAAAATGTGAGAATTATATTACATCAAATAAATTTATAGTAATAAATGATGAGTAATTTCTAGATGAATAAAAAAATATTTTATGCGGGTTCCCAAAATTTTTAAAAAATATTATAATTACAATGATTTAATATTAGTTATTAATTTTATTTTTTGAAGATAAAATTAAATTTTGCATCAAAACTATAAAATATATTAAAAAAATTAGTTGTAATTGGATGAAATGGTGATGTTGTAAAATAATATAATATAACTTTGAAATTGTGTAACAACAAAACTGAAAAGAAACAAAAAAAAGAAGTCATGTGAACAAAATAAATTGTTAGTATAAAAATATACATATATAAAGAACAAAACTGAAACCAATACATAAGATTAAATGATGAAAGATATAATTAAGCTCAAAATTCATTTGTAAGTTGATTCAATTAAATTTTTTATGGATTTAATTTTTATATTTTAGAAAATCTGTAATTTATTTTAATCATTCATTTTATATATGTTTTATTTAGTTTATTTTGATCTAATTAAAGTTTAAATTTAACGTATCATTTAAAGTATTATAAAAAAATATTTATCTAATTAAAATGAAAAAAAAAGACATATACCAAAAATTTAAGATTAAATAATAGAATTGTTAAATTTCTAAAAAAAATAAAAAACTAACATCTACCATACACAATAATTATATCTTACTATGTTACGAAAAAAATGAAAAATGTGTAATATTTGTGAAGTTTTGAAACAAACATTTTATTACAAGAGTACTCTCATAATATTGATCTTTTCATTCTTTAGAATTTCACTCCCCAAACTCTCCCCTAATATATTTCTAACTTTTATTATTAAGTTTATCATTTTGTTACTTTCCTTACAAGTTTTCAAAATGTTTATTGAGAATCTATTCTCCAGTCTTTTCTTATGAAATAATTTTTGTTTGTGAGAATTCATCTTTCACATGTTCCTTTTAGTTCAGATAATTCAAAAAATTATTTGAGTAATTAAACTTTCAATCATCATATAACAAAATATAAGATGATATTAATTTTCATTACTTTTTAAACAAATAAAATAATATTATAGCTTATAATTAAAGTACCTACAATTCTTTTTATATATATAATTTTTAAAATTCAGAAATGAAGTTTTTTTTTTATCATGCATTATAAGTCAATGTTTAAATTGTGTGTATGGTGGACATTTTGGTAAACCATATAGTCGTAATATAATTTTTTTTATTTTTTAAGTCGAATAATATTTTTTTATACTAACATTTATTTGAAGGAAACAAAGTATTCTCCATTTGATGGGTATTAAACATGTAACATTTGGTTTTATTTTTTTTTCTCTATTTTAACGTACCCATTAATCAATTTCCATATAATATATATACCCTCCATGTTAAATCTTATAGATTTAGTTTATAAGAATACTACCTTTCAAATGGGTTTAACTCAACCCAACTATTTATTTTGGTGGGTTAGATGGGTAATTAATTGGATTGATTGAACATTTTAGTGCAGTCAATTATAATAAATTAGGTTGGATAAGAGATTAATAATTTTCAAATCATAAAAATTTGATATATAATTTTATATATATATATATATATATATATATATATATATATATTACATTTTATCAAATGAATATTTTTTGTAGATGATATAATTAATAATATTACCTTATAAAGATTAATAAACAACGATAATATTTCACTACAAGAAAAATCACATTTAGCCATCGAAATTAGCGACCAAATTTTTCCGGTCGCAATTAGCGATCAATTTAATTTTGATCGTAATTAGCAACCAATTTAGCGACCACTTTAATTCGGTTGCAATTAGCGACCACTTTAATTCGGTCGCAATTAGCGACCGATTTAGCGACCAAAATATGAATTGGTTTTCATTTTATTATTTAGCGACCGAAATAGCGATCAATAGTTTGCGTCGCAAAATTTCGATCGCTAAATCTAGTGGCTATTCCACACTAAAATAAAAAAATCATTTAGCGACCGAATTACAAATTGAAATAGTGACCGAATTATAATCGATCGCTAATGAGAAAATAGCGATCGAATTTAAATCGATCACTAACTAACATTATTTTTTTATGATATTTAAATTTATTTTTTTATAAATATACTTTAATTGTTTTAGTATATTTTTGATAATTTATTTTTTAAAAGTAATTTATTTTCTAAAAATAATTTAATTTTTAAAAGATACTTTAAAAATAAACTTTGGTCTCAATATTAACAAAATGAAGATTAACTTTAATTTTAAATTACTAAAATAAAAATATTATTAAAAATAAATCAAATTTATTAAAAATTTAAATTGTAATAAATTAAGACTAGAGTAATATTAATTATTCAATACATTGTTTAAGAAAAGTTTAATAATAAATATTCTTTAATTTATTTTTCAATTGAAATTAAATTATATTTTAAAAATGTATATTAAAAAAATTAAACACATCAAATGATCACATTTTAATTCCTCATTAACTTAATTAATTAAGAAAATAAAATTTTAATCAAATAATTACAATTTTATTTTATAAAACTTTATTTTTAATCTAATCTTTAAATTTATTGCTTTATTATTATTAATTACTTAACCATGGTTATTTTCATATAATTGATATACAAAAAAATTATATCAATATACATTAGATAATCAATATACATTAGTTTAAGTATACTAATTAATATTTTTTCATTTTTAACATAATTAATAACAAAGATTAAAAATAGACTGCTAGAAAAGTTAAAAATTTAAAACTAATCTATTCTATAAATACTAAAAAAAAACATATTTAAATAAATTAAAAATATATTTAAATTTATATTTGAAACTATATAATAGCGGTTTCACGTTAACCGCTATCTAAACTATATTTTAGACAGCGGTTAAGGTTTAACCGCTTATTAGATGTTCTGTTTTAAGAGCGGTTCCGATGGAACCGCTTATCATATACAACCATTATGATCGATTAAATTTTCAAATAACCGATCATATTGGATAATTTTTTCAAATAATTAATTATAATCGATTAGTTTTCTAAATAATTGATTAGAATTGATTAGTTTTTCAAATAATAGATTATAATTGATTAATTTCTCAAATATATATTAAAAAATTATAAATAAAAATATAAATTACTTAAGAATATTAATTATTGTATGAAAGTGATAAGGATCTTATTGAAATACTCGACAAAGATCTTATTGATTTGATGAAGTCAAAGATAAAGTCAAAGTCAACTTTGTAGCGGTCAACAAGTAACTTTGATAAAAGAGTAGAGGAATTAGTGTGTCTTCAGCTATGCTTAGGTATAATCATTTTTATCTTTTCTGCTGCATGAGGTTTCTTCACTTAAAAGATTTTGCAAAATGCCTCTAAATACGTTTAAGCAGTTAAAAACAAAGTATTTTAACAAAAACTTTCTTAAACAAGTTTTTAACTGATATAATTTCGAAATAACCGGTTGTTTTCATTAAAGAAAGTTTTGAAAATCTTCTATCAGTGTTTTAACTGATAAAGCTTCGAAATAACCGATTAAAAACACTTTTCGATTAAAACCACTTAAAGTTCAGGATGATCGATCAGAATGCAATTATGACAGATCAGAATCAGATATGATCGATCAGAATTGAGTTATGACCGATCAGAGCTTTTTCAATCGATTAAAACACGTTTCAATCGATTAAAACAACTTAGAAAATTTCTACACAGCGTTTTAATCGATTAAAACTTATTTTTATCAGTTAAAATCACTTGGAAAAACTCACAATAAAGTTTTGCAGTATTTCAATCGATTGAATCACGAAACAATCGATTAAAACAAATTAGAAGATTTTTTGTAAAGAGTTTTAATTGATATAAACGTTGTCGTATCAGTTAAAACAAATCTGTTAAAGAATCAAAAACGTTTTAATGGATTAAAAGAAGTTTTAACAGATTAAAACTGCACTTTTAACAGATTAAAAGATTATTTTAACAGATTGATTAAACCAGCAGTTTTGAAAATCTTCTATAAAAACAGTTTGGGTTGAACTTTTTAAACACACATTGAACATCAGTTTTTACACATCCTTGAGCAATCAATCAAGCAAACTTTAACACTCTTTTCATTATCGATTATAATTAGAAATGATTGATCATAATTGAGAAGATATAATAGCGGTTCCACGTTAACCGCTATCTAAAGTATATTTTAAATAGCGGTTAAGGGTTAATCGCTATTAGAAGTGCCCTTTTAATAGCGGTTCCAGTGGAACCGCTATCATATACAACCATATTTTTTTATTCTGATCGATTAGATTTTCAAAATGATCGATCATATTTGATAATTTTTTCAAATAATTAATTATAATCGATTAGGTTTCTAAATTATTGATTAGAATTGATTAGTTTTTCAAATAATAGATTAGAATTGATTAATTTCTGAAATATATACTAAAAAATTATAATTAAAAATGTAAATTATTTAAGAATATTGACTATTGTAAAGATAAAGTAGAAAATGGGAGGAGATGAGAATGATAATATAATGATAGAACTTACAAAAATGTAGAATTGAGAAGTTTGAAACAAATAAAAT